GTAAACCAGGCAAAGATTGTTAAAATTAGAGCAGTTAAGCTGGAAAGAGTTTCCACATCCCCTCCTGCAGGCTGTTACTGCCTTCATTTTTAATGTATAATAGATGGGTGACTGCTAATCTTAGCCTGGTTCAGGCTGTCTGCTTGCACCAAAGCTGCTTCTGCAGCTCCTCTATCCCCCAGCCAGGCTGGAGGTGGTTGCCTGTGGGAGGAGAGGTCGGGGTGACTCAGCCCCCCGAGCAGCAGGGCCACAGATTCTGTCGGGCACGTTGCATTTCCCTGTATGAGCGCTAAGAGATGCCCTGGTCTTGAGAATCAACTCCTCTTTTAAACCCTCCTATCAAAGTAGGGCTGGAGTGGGGGGCTGTGGGAACACTGGCTTCTTCGTGTGCATGTGGACGTCCCCTGTGACAGGCATGTTGTCAGGCAAAGCTGGGGGAGAAGCTGGATGCCTGTTGGCAAACAACAATTTGTGCATTGGGATGGTGGTCACAGCATTTGGGAACAGCGCTTACAAGTCCTTGATGGTTTCCTCTCTTGTTTCCCTCCACCCCCAGTGCTGCTGACATCTACATCCGGGAGTATTTCCATAACTACGTGACCAAAGGGCACCCATGGGCTGTTCCCTTGAGGATTATATCCACTGACCGTCCCATCAGCATGACAGACCCCATCACCCAGATGTACTGCTGCCTCTCGCCAGACCAGCGCTCCTTCCGGCACCCCACGCGGGAGGAGATCGACAGGCACCGCATCATCATCACCACCTCCATGTTATCCAAGAACCTGAAGGTTCCCTCAGGCTACTTCACCCACATCATGATTGATGAAGCTGCCCAGATGCTGGAGTGTGAAGCTTTGGTCCCACTCTCCTACGCCACTTTAGAGACCCGGATTGTCCTTGCTGGGGACCACATGCAGATAACCCCAAAACTCTTCTGTGTCGGGGGTGGACAATCTGCTGATCACACCCTGTTAAACAGACTCTTTCAGTTTTACCAGAAGGAGAGGCATGAAGTGGCCACCAAGAGCAGGATCATCTTCAATGAGAATTACCGTTCCACTGCAGGCATCATTGAATTTGTCTCAAAGCACTTCTACATTGGCAAAGGCAATGCAATCCAGGCCAGTGGGGACATCCCACCCCATCCTGAAATCTACCCGCTCATGTTCTGCCACGTGTGTGGTGTGGCTGAAAGAGATATGTCCATGATTTCTTGGCACAATGCCTCTGAGATAATTCAAGTGACTGAGAAAGTGAAGGAGATCCACCAGAGGTGGCCAGATGAGTGGGGTGTCCGAGATGTGAAGAGGATCTGTGTGGTCTCCCATGGGATGCAGGTATGTAGAAGAACCAGGTATTCCCCACTTGAAGGGGCTCTGCATGCTCTGCTGACTGCTCTCCAGACACTCCCTAATAAACGCTGGACTCGGTTTATGACAAACCTGTCTCTTGTGCCAGCAAAGTCCGGGAGTTTGGGGCCCTGCCTGGCACCAGTGTCTTTCCAAGGTGCCTCCGTTTGTGTCATGGGTGGCTGGAGCAGAGATGCCTCATGGTGGGATGGTTCAGGTGAAGATTTCATTGGGCATCCTCAAGGCAGGTTAACTATAAGGCAGACTGGGAGCACGAGCTAAGCCAGTGGGGCTGCTGTTGAGTAACTTTCTTGGGGAACCTGCAGCTGAGAAGGGTAAAGGACCTTGCTGTTGGGTGGGGGGGACTTTCTGACCTGAAACTCCATTCAGTTGGGCCTCTTTCTTTCTTACCAGGTTTCTGCAATAAGACAAGAGCTGAGGAAGAAGCAGTTACAAGATGTGGTGGTGGAAAACTATGAGAACTTGCCAGGTTTGTGCCTCATGCAATAGTTAGTCATGCCTGGGGAATGTCAAGGCTTTCTGTGTGCTGGGGAGAGCTTTTGCAGTCATGTTGGCGGGCAGGAGAGTCTATGGCAGTTACAGCTGCTGTGTGATGAGCAAGGGGAAGAGATGCTGAACCATGAGCTCCTCCTGGCATCTCAACGTTGTCCTCCTTGCTAAAGTGTAAAACACCTTGCTGGTCTCAGGGCAAAACACATCTGTGGGAAGCAGCACGTGGAGCTGTTGGGCAGAGCTCCCCGTGGCTCCACCACTGCTGCAGCCACAGCCCCATGCTGATGAGGAGGGAGGGAGAGCCTGGAAATCCTTTGGCTGATTTCCACCCCTTCCCGCTTGGTAATTCTTTGTTTTTTGTCCTTTCCTTGGTGAACAGGATTTCAAGCTGAACTAAACCTGCACCCAATTGTCAGCTCATTTCAAATGTAGGGATGTTGCTCTGTAGGAGGGTGAAAACCCTGTGAGTGGGATCCCGGGGCCTTGAGCATGTGTGAATCATGTGAAAGCCCCACGTAGCAGTGGGGGGGGGAGGCTGCTGAGAGAAGGGAATTGAAACCAGACTGATTGTGGCAATTGGTCACTGCAGAAAATTGCAGAGCAGCTCACTAGAGGAGGAGTTTGCTGCTCTGGGTGACAGGGGAGGGACAGGGCTGGCTTTGTCCTCAAGGTCTTCGGTTATGACTCAGCTGTGGTTTTATTTATTACTATTTTTTTATTGTGCAGCTGGGACTCCTGGTGGTGAGAACAACTGACCCCTGGGGTGTGTTTCTGATCTCCACACCCCTGCTTTGTAGTCTCTTTCCAGCTCTGAAATCACCAGGGTGCCTCTTGCTGTTTGTTGTTTGTCCTGCAATCAGCTGAGTCCTGCGGGGAGAGGGATTCTTGCGAACGGTCACTGCTCTTGTTCCAGTGGGAGCCTCAGTTCCCCGAGGAACTTGGGATTCACAGAAAACTCTACTTGTGTTTGCAAGGAGTGGCTGGCAGGGGCTGCGGGTGGCACGGAGCACACAGGGCTGCTCCATGGGTGCCTCACTGCTCTGGGGCCCTGCCTTTCTCCTGTCTCCATGCTGCCCTTCACTCCCTGGTGCGTGGGTGGTGGTGGCCTCCTGGTGTCTGCCCATCGTGCCTGGAGGTCCTTGCAATTCCCCCATCCTCCTTTCTTCACATCAGGCGACTTCTGTGACTCAGCCAAGAGAGGCTGCATCAGCCTGTGGCCTCGTGACGTGGTGTAGATGGGCAGAGCACCAGGCAGGGTCTTCCCCTGGGCTGGGTTCCCATGAGTGACTTCTCCCTTGTTGCCTCACTCAGCCAAGAGAGGCTGCATGTGCCTGTGGCCTCGTGACGTGGTGTAGATGGGCAGAGCACCAGGCAGGGTCTTCCCCTGGGCTGGGTTCCCATGAGTGACTTCTCCCTTGTTGCCTCAGGGCGGGAGTTCCGGGTCATCATCATCAGCACTGTCCACACCAGCGAGAGCCTGCGCGTCTCGGCCTCCCACCACCTCGAGTTCTTCAACGAAGCCAGAGTGCTCAACACCATCATGACCCGGGCCCAGTCGCTGGTGGTTGCAGTGGGCGACGCCGTGGCCTTGTGTTCCCACGGCCAGTGCAGCAAGGTCTGGAAGCGCTTCATCCAGCAGTGCATCGAGAAGGGGAGCGTCTTCCCTGAGAGCCTGACGATGGCCCAGATCAAACAGGCTGCATGTGACAAGGAGAGCTGGAGTAGGAGGAGCCCAGAGGGGGACGAGGAGGACAGCGACACGGATTCCTGGAGCTCGGAGGCTGAGAGCATGAATCCTGATGATCCCATCCTCCAGGAGCTCTTAGATGAGAGCAAGAATGTGCTGGTGACTGTGTCAGAAGAAGGGCTGCTGAATGTGAAGTCTGAGGCTTCAAACCTGGGGGAAGGCAGGCAGGAATATGTCAGCTTCTCTTCTCAGATGATGCAGGAATATCTGCTCATGCACCCCAAAATGTACAAGAGGTGCGAGCTGATCAAAGAAGGGTTTGACAGAGCTTCTGCCTTCACCCTCAACGACTCTCCTGGGATGAACATTCAGATCAAGGGCAGGGTTCACTGTGGAATGGCCTTCACTGGGGACGAGGTGCTGGTGGAGCTCCTGCAGGGCAGCACAGCTGACAGCAGCCACCGCCCTCAGGGAAAGGTGGTGGGCATATTGAAGCGCGCCGAGAAAGAACGGACCTTCATCTGCATGATGGATGAGTTTGATCCCCGGGTGATGATACCCATCGATCCCACTGTCACCAAAATATTTGTCCCAGGGCTGAAAGAGAAGCCCAATGTCATTCCCATCCGCAGGCTGGTCAATGGGAAGTACAGGGTTGTCAGCTGTGAGAAGATCAGCCACGAGAAAAGGAGAAGCCAGCTCTTCTGTGTCCAGGTCATCTCCTGGAGGGAAGGGTTTTACTACCCTTTGGGTGTAATAACAGAGGTTCTACATGCGGCGTTGACTTTGGAAGAAGGCCTAAAGATCCTGGACTTGGAGTATGGTTTGGAGAATAAATACCCAGCTGCTGTCACCAGGGAGTCAGCCAAATACACCTCCGGCAGTAAAATAAATATCACCAAGGAGAATCTGAGGGACTGTCGGGGTTACCCCACCTTCACCGTCGACCCCCAAGGTGCCAGGGATTTGGACGACGCTGTCAGCGTCAGGGATCTTGGGCAGCACTACGAGATTGGGATCCACATTGCAGACGTGGCTGGCATCATTCCCAAAGGCAGCGCCTTGGACCTGGAAGCGAAGAAGCGAGGTGTCACCTACTATGCTCCCAACCAGGAGCCCCTGTGCATGTTCCCACCCCACATTAGCCAGGACGTCTGCAGCCTCCTGCCACAGAAAGAGCGTCTGGTCATCTCCCTGTTTGTCACCGTAGGAAAGAAGACTGGTGTGATTTTAAAGGCCATCTTCACCGTCTCTGTGATCTGCTCAGACAGGCAGCTGTCCTACGAAGAGGCAGAGCTCTACATCAAGGACCGCTACGGGGGAGCAGCAGGGACCCTTCATTTCGACACCCTGGAGGACTGTGTGGCTGTGGCTTATCATTTCTCCAGGATCCATCGGAAGCGTCGGCTGCAGGAGGACTATTTCTATGACCAGCTGGATGAGGGAAGCTCCCCAGGTAACAGGGAATCCCATCAGATGATAGAGGAGTTAATGATCATGTTCAACAGTTTTGTGGCAGAGTTCCTCACCAACAAGGAGGACACCAGAAATGTCACTCCCCTGCGGTGTCAGAGTGAGCCCAGCCTTCAGCAGTTAACAGCCATGAAAAACAAGTACAGCCACCTCGTTCCTTTTTCCATCCATCTCACACACCACCTAGGAGAGGTGCGTCCTGGCCAAAACCCCTCTGACAATGTGGAGTTCAGCCTCCTGGCCCCCATCTGGGAGCATCTGCTGTCAGCCATTAGGGTTCGTGACTTCCCCAAGATGCTAGACCTTATTGTCACTGATGACATCCACCCGAAGCTGGCTCCCGTGGCCCTGGAGTTCAGGAGGCTGCTCAGCCGCTCCTATTTCAGCTGCTCCAACTCCTCTGTCCAGTCCAAAGCAGGTCACTACTCCCTGCACGTGGACTCATACACCTGGGCTTCCTCTCCCATCCGCCGCTACATGGATGTGGTGGTTCAGCGGCACCTTCATTCCGTGCTCCACAAGAAGCCCGTGGTCTATTCCGTGGATGACATTGAGTTTCTCTGTCACGACTTCAACAGGAAGAATTCCAAGGCAGTGACATACGAGAAGAAAGCCCGCTGCCTGCAGATGGCCACCCAGCTGAAGGGCCAGGTCCTGCAGAAGATGGCCTTTGTAGTGGATATTGAAGGGATGAATAAGTACTTTAAAGCCCTGTTTCCACTGAACAAAGAGAGTCTTCCAGATCCCCAGATAATTAATTACAGGTCTCTCCAGCTGGTAGAGCAGCCCATCTTCATCCCGCAGCGCAACTGCATGAGGCTGATGTGGAAGAGGAGGATGTACTCCATGAAGACAACAAAGGAGCACAGCCTGCAGGAAGGACCAGTCCGTGACCACAGCATCACCCTGGTTGGCAGCCAGACCTGGCAGGATGTGCTGGCAGCCATCAGGCGTGAGGATCTGGAGACTGCAGCCACCCTCCTTGGGAGGAACAAGAACCAATACCAGAGACACACGGGCTGGGTGAGGAGGAGCCAGTGCTCACACTACATGGAGCTCTTCCTGGAGCTGAGCGCCGGCGACGCGCTGCAGTTCCAGCTCACCACTGATACCCACCGGGGCTTCCTGGTGCCCTCTGTGCAGCTGTGGTGTGTTACACCTGGGTTTGACATCTGCCTGCAGCACACAGAGAAGCCCATTGACTGCTTCTCTGCCTATGCCACCCTGCCATCCAAAGACAAGTACAAGCACGCGATGGATTACAACAAGATCTGGTTGCCCATGAGTGCCATGGAGTCTGCTTCGTGTGCCGTGGCTGAAAATGACTCCATTGTCCTCCAGAACGTCAAAATAACCTGGGCAAAGCAAAGGACAAGGAAAGGACAGCTGCAAGGGAGTTTTGTCCTAGCCAAAACATATTTGGAGGAGTTCTCCATTGAGGTGGACTTCAATCACTGTTACTTGTGCATTCGCTTAGGTGGGCTGAAGCCTGAGAGCCTTCAAAGCGACGAGGAGTGCCTTGTCCAGGGCCTCCAGAACCTGACTTTTTTTAACAAAGGTGGGTCAGAAGACAAGCTGGTGGTTGATCCAGATACCTACACCTGGGTGGCTCATGGTGTCACTGAAGAGTTTGCCGACAACGAGAAGTCAGACAGGACTGCTGAGAATACTATAAACTTCTACATCCACCATATGTCTATGGAGAACATCCCTGTCGAGGTCTCACAGGCCTCTGCCAGGTTCACAGTGGAGCTCATACCCAAGATGCTGCCAGACATGTAAGTGTCCTTAGTGGTCATGCTGTGGTTAACCTGTCCGTGCAGTGCCATGGCTTCTCACAGGGCTCTCTTGCTGACCCAGACTGCTCTGCTTGCTGCTGATCCCCTGAGAAATCTTTGCCCAGCTGGGACTGGTCACGCTGTGGGGCAACTGGTGTTTGGTGGGGGTGGCAGCATTTCTCAGCTGTGTTCTCCAGGTGGCCTCTTGCTCTTCTGGTTGACCTTGAGAACAGGGAGACAGGCAAAGGTGTCGTGCTGAAGTTCTCCCAGGCATCTGTTTCTTCCATTACTGGATTGCTGCAACGTGTGTCAGGAAAGGCTGGGGAAGCCCTGGATCTGGGTTTGCTTGGCAGAAGCACTCCCTGATTTCCAAATCATTCCCCTTTGTTGTTGCGGGGAAGCAAGATCTGCTGTCACTAAAGCAGAGCTGATGTCTAGTTTGTCCTTTGGACACAGCATGGGCTGGTACTGCTGTAGCTTTTCCAGGGCAGAATGTGCTTTCTTTTGTAATGTGAATTTTGGGAAAAAATGGGAAGCTAATCAAATAAAAAGGGTTAGAGTTGGGACAGAAGTTGTGCTCCCTGCTTTCAACATCTTTGCAAGCTCAGCTCTTCAGACAGTTGAGAAATAGTCCCAGACGCAAGAGCAGAATAGGAGCAGTTTTGGTGAAAGTTCTTTGTGGAAGGATTTAATGCACCACCAAAGCAGAGAGAGAGTAAACAAGACAGTTGTACGAGGCTGTATTACAATTTTTGCTATTTTATGCTACATTCCATTAATTCTTATTTCTCTCTGTCTTTCAGACGGAAGGAGAAGGCAATTTGGAAGCTCAGCAATGCCTCTGACCTTGCTAAAAGCATTGCCCTTGGCCATGAACCTCCTAAAAAAGGTAGGTGCAAATGTTCACCTTTCTTACCTTGTGGCAGGTCTTACACTGCCAGACCAGGAGGTTCTCCTGCCACGCAGAGGAGAGGAGCTGCCAGGTTGGCACAGTGAAGGTCACAGGGACACCTTGCTGGAGGGTGGTGTGGGTGCTGTTTCCATCCCCAGGACTCTCAGAGAAGGCTCATGGGCAGAACATCTTGGCACAGGACAAGGATTGCCTAGAGGTGCTCTTGTAAATGAGGCACAATTGCTTATACCTTCTGCACCCTCCTGTTGAATGGCTGGTGTGCTGCCTTCAGTAACCTTTAAAACCTCCTTTAAACTGGTTTTCTTGGCTCTTTCCATAGCAGTGAAAATGTCCAAAATCCTGCTGCAACAATCCTTTGATCTCCTTGGCAACTTCAGGAAACTTAACCAGAGTCAGAACCAGGCGATTCTAAATGCTCTCAGAAAACCCTTCACACTCATCCAAGGGCCACCAGGTAAGGCTGGGGGGAAGGCATGAGCACGTGTCTATGTTGTGAAAGGTGAATCTGTTCCTTTCACAGAATCATTTACATTGAAAAAGACCCTGAAGATCAAGTCTAACTGTTCACCTAATGCTACCAAGGGCACCACTAACCCATGTCCCTAAGCATCACATCTGCACATCTTTTAAATACCTCCAGGGGTAGTGACTCCACCACTGTCCTGGTCAGCTTTTCCATAGGACCCTGGGGAAGACAGGAGAAGGTAGCATAGGTTGGCATCACCCACAGCTGTTCTAGGCAGTTCCCTTGGTTCTTGGTTTTGTTTCATGGCTGATTATCTGGAAGCTGATCTAGAACGTGGGTGTTGTGGTTCAAGTGTTCTCAGCAACCTTCTTGTTTTTTTAGGCACAGGAAAAACAGTTGTTGGAACTCACATTGTCTACTGGTTCCATGAGCTGAATGAGGGGAGTGAGGAGCAAACACCACCTTTGAAGTCTGAAGACAAAAAGGTCAAGAGAAAGTGCATCTTGTACTGTGGCCCGTCCCACAAGTCTGTTGATGTTGTTGCTGGTAACTATCAGTTTTCAGCCCCTGAGGTGGCTTGTGGGAGGGAGAACACGTGGCTGTGAGCGGGAGGGTGGGAGACAGGAGGGGTGAAAACCTGGTCCTTACAGAATATCCCCCACTGGACCAGTGAAGGTGGGATTGATGAGTGAGGGGTGCAGAGAAGAGGCAGCTGTGAGTGTCCTCAGCACCACCAGGGCCTGGTGCTGCCTGAGCAGAACTGTTCTCCTTCCCCAGGGATGCTGCTGAAGATGAGGAACCTGAAACCGCTGAGGGTCTACGGGGAGGCCATAGAGACCATGGAATTCCCGTACCCGGGCAGCAGCCGGAACCTCTCCCGCAAATCCCTGCGGGATGCCAAACCAAACCAGGAGCTCAGGTAGGACCACGAGGCCCCCTGGGCTCCAGGAGAGCTGGGGAGTGATGTCCTCTGCAGGGCTGAAGCTGAACAAGCCAGGGCAAATGCAGTTTCCATCCCACCGCTGTGGAGCAGCACTATTAACCCGCTTTGTAATGAATGTTTTCAAGTGGAGGTGTTACAGTCTCATGTCACACCTTGTCAGGAAACCCAGGTGTTGGAAGCATCCCAGGTGTTTTCAGCTCTCTTTTGAGCAGCTCTAAAAGTCTCTTCCTTTGTTCCTGCTTGCAACTGCTAAAGAAAAGGGGCTGTATTTTGTGTCCTTGAGGGTGAACTGTAGAGGTGGAACAGTCTGGCTGTGACTTCTTTAGCTGGTGGGGTTTCTTCACACAGAGAAGACACGGTCTGCCTCCCTGCAGAGGGCACTTTGGTCTGTGTTGGGGGAAAATATTGATATGTTGGCTCTTTATTCAGGGAAATAATCCTGCATTACCGCATCCGGAAGCCGCCCAACCCGTTCTACAGTGAGATCTGTGAGTTTGATTCTCGGATTAAGAGAGGACTGCAGATCACAGAAAATGACGTAAAGAAGTGAGTAGAACGAGACCCTTTTGAGAGCTGGCTGCTTTTGGCCATGTGCCACCTCTGAAGCACTGCCCAGAGGAGCAGTTCCCTTTCCTGGGAACACCAGCTCATCCTGGGGAGGGAGATGGAGCTGTAAATGTTTTGGGAAAGTACAACCTCTGCCTGGCTCCTGCACGAGGAGCCTGGAGATGTTTCCCTTGTGCGTAACCCAGTGTCTTCTGCGCCAACCACCAGGTACAAATCCCATTTGTCATCTGCTCGTGAGTATGAGCTGTCAAGGCACGATGTCATCCTGTGCACGTGCTCTTCTGCATCTGCTGGTACCCTGGAGCAGCTCAATGTCAAGCAGATAATCATCGATGAGTGTGCCATGTCCACAGAACCAGAGACCCTCATCCCTCTGGTCAGCCACAAACATGCTGAGAAGGTAAGTCCTTTCCAAAGATGCCTCTCTAGGATGGCTGCTCGGGGCTCTCAAACCTCTGCATGTGTCTTCCACTCCTTACCGTGCTGCTCTTCCAAATTTTATCAGGTTTGAAGGTTGTTCTTGGAAGTGTCTGTGATCAAAGTCTCTGCCTTCAGGCAGTTTTTTTCCTTTGAGGTGTAACTTTGTACCCAGGTACAAAATAATGTGACAAGAAGCACAGAGCAGTTCTCAGTAGACTTACTACATGGTGCCTTTCTCCCTGTCAGATGGGAACAAGGTTCCACGTTATCTGGGTCAGGATCTTTATATGATGCCCAACGTGGTCCTTGACTGAGGTTGCTGTAACCATAACAACAACAAGGAGCATCAACTGTTGGTCATCTGCAAATAGCTTTTCAGGCAGCTGATTGTCTTCACCAGTGCCCCCACCCTCATAGTGGAGATGTCCACCCTTTGTTCCAGGTTGTTTTGCTTGGGGATCACAAACAGCTGCGGCCTGTGGTCAACAATGACTTCTGCAAGAGCCTTGGCATGGAGACGTCTCTTTTTGAGCGCTACCGGCACCAGGCGTTGATGCTGGACACTCAGTACCGCATGGTGAGTTCCTCCCCTGCATGGTCACAGGAAATGCTGCTGCCAGGGTTTGTCCCAAGCCCCCGGGAAATAAAAGATCCTCCATTAGTGCTGTCCCTCCATAGAGCCACGAGTGACACGCTCGCCAGCTGTGGCAGGGGGCAGGGCAGGGGGAGCTGCTGCGGGCTGAGAGCTGCTGCGGGTTTCCTTCAGCTCAGGCTCTCCCCTTTTTCTCTGCCAGCACAAAGGGATCTGCGCGTTCCCCTCCCAGGAGTTTTATCAGTCGCGGCTGAAAACGTGTCCCCAGCTCCAGCGCGAGGCCAGCGTGTTCCACCACAGAGAGAACGGGTGCTGCCCTGTCATCTTCGGGCACGTGGAGGGGAAGGAGCAGTCCCTGGTGATTTCCACTGAGGAAGGAAACGAGAACTCCAAAGCTAACCCAGAAGAAGCAGCGCAAGCGGTGAGGAGGGAACTGCTGGAGATGCAGAAGTGTCAGGATGTTGTGCAGGGGGACGATGGGGATGCAGGAGGGATGACGGGTAGGGATCTAGGGTAGAGATGGCACCCTTGAGGCCACACCTCAAACCTTGGGGTCAGTTTGGGGCCCCTCACTACAAGAAGGACACTGAGGGGCTGGAGTGTGTCCAGAGAAGGGCAGCAGAGCTGGGGAAGGGGCTGGAGCAGAAGGGAGGAGCAGCTGAGGGAACCAGGGTTGTTTAGACTGGAGAAGAGGAGGCTGAGGGGAGACTTCCTTGCTCTCTGCAGCTGCCTGGGAGGAGGTTGGTGCAAGGGGGGGTGGGTTGATCTCTTCTCTCAAGGACCCTGAGCAAGGGGAGCAGCCCAGCTGGACACCCTCGCTGTCCTGGGGACAGGGTGGTCTCCCCCACTGGTGGGGAGGGCTGGTTCCCTCTGGCCCCAGCTCCCAGGTGAGCAGGACCCCGCGCTCCGCAGGTGAGGATAGCGAAGCAGCTGACACTAGATGGCACCATCCGGCCGGAGAAAATCGCCGTCCTCAGCCCCTATAACGCCCAAGTGTCCGAGATCAACAAGGGCCTGATGAAAGAGGGCATCCGCGGGGTGACCGTCTGCACCATCATGAAGAGTCAAGGTGAGGCTGGAGGAGAGGGGAGGGCTGGGTCTGTTCTGAGGGCTGGGTCTGTTCTCTGCTGCCTTCCCGAGGGCTGAAGGAACATCTCACAGCCACCGTCTTCCAGCAAATTTTACTCCAGGGTCATTTCAGCCCTGGGGGAAGTATCCCCAGGCCAGATTTCTGGGTGATTTGTGATTTTTATGTAATAAATCCTTTGGAAACCCCTGGGGTGCCCAGGCAGGGTGAGACCACAGCAGATGGGAAAGTGTAAGATGCCTGAAGGGGGTTAAAGAACTGCTCTTCACAGAGCAACACCAGGGGTGTCCGGAGCTGGAG